ATAAACCACTTGATGGCAGGCAATTCATGTCAAATACACGAACAGATCCATCCTTGCATGAAAAATAGAAATAATTTGGATAAATACTTGATGAGGATGGATTGGCCATGTAGAATGACAATACTTCACATATTTCTGTTTAAATTTCTTCAATAATTCTAATTTGGAGGGTTTGTTTATTCCATCAATAGAGCTAGTTACAATCCTATCATTTCCATAACAATGAACAGTATTCACATATCCAGAATGTTTTGGTGATATTGAAATTGGAGATAAAAAGTTTTCTACTGTCCCACACTTTCACAAAACCATCATAGGAACCACTGAATAATAAATGGTCATTAGTGCCACCACCACCAACACCATTACTATTACTACTACTACTACCATTACTGCTCGAACTGAAACACTTCACAGTTGATTCATGTGCTTTGACAACACTAGTTGAGAGATGATTTCTTCTAGTATCCATTTGTTGTTGAATGGATCCATCATGCCTCCCAATATACAGCAAAGATAAATGAGGTACGGAATGCAAAGCGTAAATGGATCCATAATGATCATCATCATGACGTGAAGAAGGAGTAAAAGTTCTTCTGCTGAAGGTAGGACTTGTAAAAGTGGGAGTTGTAGTTGACGTTAAATTATGAAGATCACTCCATACTTGTTGTTGAATCATCATCATTGGGGTTGATGAAGGAGATAAGGAACAGAGAGATCTCTTCCTCCAATATAGAGTTGTGGTATTGTCATTATTGGCTATTCCTTCATGAGTGTTCTCTCTCACTTTATCGGAACAATGATTGAGAGTGGTGATGATGGTTTGCATTGGATCTCTGTCTGATGTGAACAAGAATTTTTAAAAGGATTCCAATGTCTAGTTAGTTGGATCTGTCTGAGGTGGTTCATCCTAGAGTTGAATTGCATACCCTTCATATTCTAGACAGTGTTGTTGAATGAATCTTTAAGAACACCATCACACTACTGCATGATAACATTCGTTGATGTATGCAAACTTTCACATTGGCTTCAGCCAACAATCATTTACAACTGTTCAAATGGTAACATCTGTCATTTTCTTTTTTGCTTTTCATATGGTAACATCTGTCATTTTCTTTTTTGATAATGAACAAGACACCTTATTTTGCGCATTTGAATGGTGCAGTGAAATTGTCACCTGTTATTCTCCAAGGAGAGTCGTCGTCGTTCCATTTCGTACTTCTTTCCATACATACTGCTCTTTAAAAAATATCACATCCATCACTCACCCATCCACAGAAACGTAACACATGTCACCATCATCATCGCTTCATCCTCGTGACCATCCTCACAACACAAGTGGTCGTGTTGGAGGTCTATTATCAGTTTGGGAAAAAAGAACAGAAGAAGCACAACAACAACAACTCTCCCGATCACCTCATCATCACCACCATCACTCCTCCTCCTCTTCATTGAAATTATTCTCCAAATCATCATCTCACTCCTCCATCATGTCGATGACAAGTCATGAAAAATTAAAAATTTGTGTCATTGGAAATCCAAAATGTGGCAAAACATCACTCGTATTGTCTTATTTGGAGAGTGATCGAGAATTACCACATTCAACATTGGATGAAATTACAACAAAAAGTATGTATAGTACTATTAATTACAATGAACACAACAAATATTTGGATCACACTGTAACACAACAACCATCTCCATTCATCATATTATATTGTAACAACACATTCCTATCATCATATTTTATTGTAACAACACATTCCTATCATCATATTTTATTGTAACAACACAAAAGTCATTCATCAAGGACATGAAATCTCTCTCACCATTTCAGATACCAATGGATCGGATGATTATGATCGATATCGAACTAAAATCATGTATCCTCATTCCGATGTCTTTATTATTTGTTATTCCATAGTTTCAAGACAACACTATGAAAATGTGAAATTGAAATGGATACCTGAAGTGAAAATGTTATGTCCAAATGCATTAATTGTATTGTGTGCCACTAAATGTGATTTGAGAGATGATCATCGATACATTTCAAATACTTCTCATATTGTTTCAAGACATGAAGTGAAGAAATTATTATTAGATTCACAATTAGATCCATCTGCCTATGTGGAATGTTCTGTCTTTGATCAAGGTATGGGTGTTAAGGAAGTATTTGATAAGGCCATTCAATTGTATTTGAATTCATCATCCAATCATCATCATCATCATCATCACCTCTCGTCGTCCTCACAGGATAAAAAGAAAAAATAATAGGGCAATTCAGAATGGTGGACATGAAAATAATAGGGCAGTTCTAATGATTTTCAGAATGGTTGACATGACCTTTTTAAAGAAAGGATTGCCTTAATATTGCTGTAAAATAAAGTGAATGTACACATAATTGATCGTTCTTTGTCACACAAGCGATGATGCTTCGTAAAAGAAGTGTTTTGAAAACAATAGGCTTGACCATTTCGAATAATATCACTCCACCTAAACAACTTTCTAACCAACTCCTATATCGCACCTTCTCAGCAATCTGCGTCTGCATTTGTCCTATCTCAACCCTTCCAGTTTAATTAAAAAAGTTTAACAAGACTTAACCAATTTGACATCTTTGTTCACCATTACCTTAATATGATATACTCTCAACTTATTCATCATTGATTTTTTGCTGACCAATATAGTTCTTTACAAAAGAATTGTTCTGTAATGAAAACAATAAACAAAGCTGTTGATTTAATCACATATATCTCCAGAACTGGTGGTTTGGAGAGGACACAACCATCAACACCAATTAAATATTGTAGAAAATAAAATTTTGTTAAATAACATGATAATTCACTACAAATCTATTTCTCACAAACTAAATTCTATTGTACACAATATAAAGTCAATTATATTCCAATATTTACCACAGCGCGTAACGTAATAATTAATGATTGAAACAGATAACATAATAACAAGACAGAAATATTCTTTAATTCTGCTGTTATTATACAATATATTATGTTGACTGGTAATTATTATCCATTGTACTACCACAATTACAGTGCGGTGAATATGTAACTTCTTATAGTATTACATGTTTAATGAGTATTAAAAATAATTTGATATTACTTCATTTTATAAAATATCAATATATAATATAAAAGTATTCATGAAGATAACCAATAACATGATCAATAATTGTAACTATATTGTTTGATGTTATATTCATAATGAATTTTGTGATATTTTTAATTTGTTTACAGTTTATTGATATAGAGTTAATGTCAATCGTATTCTAAAATAGAAAATTGAACATGACTTGTAACTCGACAATAATTAGTAAATATCGATTGTTTTTTGATGTCTCTGGACCACCACTTTTGGAGCACCAATGGTGTATATACCAACAGTTGTGCCGAGAATAAGTTTATAGTAGTATGTGATGTACATTGAGAAATCCACAAGAATGGATATTAATTAGGGAATAATATCATTGTAAAATTGTTGGAAAAGAAAGATTAGAAATAAAAGAAGTCAAGCAAAAAACAATGCCTATCCCCTCATTGATTTCTTATCCAATTTGGTTAGTTCAGTAAAAATAAAAAATAAAAAAATTGACCGTGTGACTGATTAACTGGGTTGCTTTGCTCTTTAGATCTGTTTTGCTTGTGAATTGAAGGTTGAACATATTTTTAGCGTTACAAAACACTTCTTTTCAATGCTGATGTGGGAATGGTTTGATGGAGCCCTAACTGAATAACTAGTAATGGCGACATTAACAAAGGATTGTCATTGCAAAAGAACAGAAGTGATTTGTAATGAAAACAATAAGGTTGATCGCTATTTTATTTAAAACCTCTCCATCAATTACTAGTTATTCTCTAATTGTTCTTTCTTTGATGGTGACCATCTACCACATATTCATATTCCACTAATTCATTTGCACTCGAGTACATTTGAATAAAGTTCATCAATTGTTTTCCAGCCCAAGTTGGAACTAAAACAGCCAATAATACATTCTTCCAAATTCCAGCACTCAATGCTTGGTTATAGAAATACAATGCATACAACATGACATAGAACATTTCATTACCAACACACAAAATTGCCATAAATGTTCTATTTGTGTAATACAAGGCCAATAAATAACTTCTCTTCCAATCGACATCTTTGTGACTCTTTGTACCAACAACGAGACTCACATACATTCTAAACCAATGTGAAACAAAATCTAAAATATTCAACAAAATGAAATACGAAGTATAGGATGGATAGAATTTAACAAGAATTGTAACAAGAGCAGCAGTACTGAATCGATCAGTCACCATATCAAGAACTGCTCCAAATCTGGAACATTGATTGAATCGACGAGCAGCAATGCCATCCAATCCATCCAACACAAAACTAGTGGTATAAATACAAATCACAGTCAATGGATAGGATTCATAAATAAAGAAGGAGAGAAGAGAGAGAAACACACGAAGATATCCAATGAGGTTTGGAATGTAGGCATAGATTTTATAGGCCTCCGATGGTGAAGCAACTGATGATGACAGGGTGGTCATTTTTAATAAAAAATTACAAAGTGAAAATTTTTTTTTGAAATAAGATAATTATAATTAATAATAGATTATCTTTGTTCCAATTATGAAACGCCTTTATGACCATTTATGTTGTAAACAGCGCACACTCATTGTGTTGAGGGGTATCACGAGGTATCAAAAGCTGGACAATATCGATAATAAGAAGGGGTTATAGCTCAGTTGGTAGAGCGTGTGCTTTGCATGCACAAGGTCTAGGGTTCGATTCCCTGTGACTCCAAAAATTTTTTGTTAATTTCATAATCCAAAGTGCTTTTTGGGTGAGTTAAATTGTTTTTGTTTTGATCCAGTTTGATTGGATTGATTTATTATTTAATTCAACAATTATTGCTAGTCATTTTTGGATTTTTGTTCTAGTTGTGGTGAATAATTTTATGAAAGTGTATGATATATGTCAAAAACAAACCACATAATTTACTGCTTCAATTTCTGTTTTCTGTACTCGGCAAGTGTCATCTTTTTAACTGGAGCATTAGTGGTGATGGTATTGATGGTTTTCAACAACGATGGTGGCGGAGCAGTGACTGCAGTCGTATTGGCAGTGCTTACCTCCACTGGGGCTGTGAGATCCAAATCAAAATCGTGTAATCCACTTGAGGAAACAGTCTTCTGAGTCATGTAACTGCTGCTACTACTACTCGAGGAGACCAAGTTGTTCTTTGTGGAATCCTCTTCTTTCTTAAAAGCTGTTGTTGGTAGGGGTTGTTCCTTTTTTGATTCTTCTTTTGGACTCTCAGTAGCTAACACAAAGAAGGATGAGTTGGTCTTTCTACGAGAGAAGGGATCTAATTGACCTGATCCTTGAGTGGTCAAAGCATTAAAAGTTTGATGCTTTTTTCGGTGTTCATGTGCAGCTTGATCCATTGCTCTATTCTTGACATTGATTTTACCCAATTTCTGAGCAGTTGGAGAGAGAAAATCAATTTTAGAATATTCAGCTTCTAACTTTTTCAATTCTTCTTCATATTTAGCTTTTTCATTGAGAAGAGATTCATCGGATTGTCTCTCTGAACGATCATCCTCTTCATTATCTTCATTATCTTCATCATTCATCATCATGGATGAATTTTGTTTTGATTTTCCTAAACTTCTCAAATACAATTCATCCATAATTTCCTTAATCTTAGTTTTGATTTGACTAATCTCTCTAGTAATGGATTGTTTGTTCTTTACAATTAAACCTCCTTTCAACATTTTCTTTTCTTTCAACATGTTTTCAATTTCCTTATCTGTATATTTGTATTCTTTCAAATTCTTCCATTGTTGAATTTTGTGTTCAATAAATTTGAGAGTTGGAAATTTTTCACCAACTTTTTCCATTTCACTCTTCCATGCTCGAAATTCATTTTCTTCAATTTCCTTACTGTCACTGATGGCACTCATTTGCCATGTCCTTTTTTGTACACCAAATTGTAATAACAATCCTTTTCTAGTCTTTTCTGCGTTGTTCACTCCAAATGGATAATCCTTGCTCATGTCTTGTACTTGAACAATTTGGCAGAGACGATACGTCTTTTTCTGTGCACGTTCATTGTAGCCAACAAGAACCCTAACAAATGCCTTTTCAACACTTTCTGAAAAGTAAGGTTCTTTAAACTCTTTTTCAAGAGCAGATCTTCGAATGAGAATCTTTTCCAAGTCTTCTTTGGTGATTTTACATTGACTGGATTCATAAATATCTTCGTCTTCTTCTTCTTCCTCTTCTTGATCATAGTCTCTCATTGAATTTGATCGTGATTCATATTCAACAGCATTATCACCTTCATCGGAACGACGGTCTGCATCATCACGTGTATGTTTTCGTTGTTGTTGTCTTGATTCTTGATTGTCCGACAGATCGTTGTCATCATCGGATGTTGAAGGTTTGGATGATCTTTTTCGTACTCTCTTTGCCGTTGAAGTGGAACCACGTTTTGATTTGTTGTTCTTTGGAGCCTCATCCTCTTCTTCATCCAATTCTAAATCTAATTCGGGATCATGATAGGACTTTTTACGAGATGATGATGAGGTCGAATGACTAGATGATTTGTTGGGTAATGATGTAAGAGTAGTGCCACTACTACTACTCGCAGATGCTGGGACTGTTGTAGGCATCTTCTTTCCACGTTCAATCAATCTTCCTTGTTTTCTCAAAATCTCTTTTCGTTTTCTCTTCTCATTACGCTCCTCATAACGTTCAGATAGGATTTTCTCACGTTGTAATTCAGAGAGTGAGTCTAGATAGGCTCTATCTTCTTCATCTTTGTAGTAATCAGAATCATATTCATCATCCAAATCTTCTTCTCTCACGTAGTAGGATGATGGATCTATGGTTTGTTGTGTGTTCGATGATTTTTGCTTTTTGTTGTTGTCTTCGCCTTCCGAAGAGTGATCGTGTTGAGAGTAATCGTCATCACTGTCTTCATCGCTGCTGACTTTTTGTTGGCGATTGCGTTTGGACATTTTTTTTGGGGTAAGAAGGCAATTAACATTAATTGGGTTTTTAAAACTCCCTTTGTGTGTTTTCTATCGATATTATTTGGGTTGAACAATACACAGTGGTACAAGCGAAAATGGCTTGGCGTTATCCAAAAACTGTGTTGTGCATGATGCATAAGAGAATATGGAATACTCATTGAAGTATCGATACGAATGAGTAATTATTTAATGAAAATCTGCAACGAATTTGGTGAACTGAAAAAATGTCCCTTTCTTCGAATGAACAAGATGGTGTGGACAACAACCCTACGAAGGAACCACCAACCTCTTCATCTCCGATGATGATGCATCAACAACAACAACATGATACAAACCTGAACCAAAATCACCATTCCACATCCAATAGATCTTTGTCCAACACCATCACCACTACCACGGACAAGACCGATAAGAAAAGAAAAACTCAATCCAACAAGAAGAATTCAAAAAACAAGAAAAAGAAAGAAGAAGAGGATGACTCGAATCTGATGAGAGGTGAAGAGGATGACTATGGTGGGGATGATGGTACAATTGGGATGATGGATTCCAATCTATTGGATATGAATGATGATGTCTTGATCGATGATGATGAGGAATATTCACAAGAATCCTCAACCATCTCATTCTCAACAAGAAACTCCTCCTCCTCCTCCACTAAAATATATTTTCCATTTGTCCTTTCTCTTTCCTACAATGGAATACCATTCAATGGACTACAAATTCAATGTGGTGATAATTTGAAAAAACATCCTCATATATTAACCATTGAAGCAGTGTTATTGGACATACTCGTTGGAGAAGATGGATCTCCAAATGATGCTGTTGCTGCTGCTTCTACTACAACCTCCTCTATTGAGACTATCTCTACTACTGATACCACTACCACCACCTCTACTTCTCTGTCCACTACCTTCACTACCTTCACTACCACCTCTACTACTACTACTGCCACCCCTTCTACTGAGATCTCCACTCCATTTAAATTCATCAAATCAAAGAATTTAAAACAAGTCAAATTACAACGTGCTTGTCGAACCGATCGAGGAGTATCTGCAGTGAGAAATGTTCTTGGATGTGTCATGACATTACCAAATATTCATAATAACAAGGATACATTTACATTTAATTTAAATGATGAATTGAAAGAATTAAATCATCGAATCAATAACCATTTTAGAATTAAACAATTAAACTTACAAGATCAAGTAAGAATTGTCAACATACAAAGAGTACCAGCTAGATTTATAGTACATCATTGGTGTCAATTTAGAAGATATTTATATCTCTTACCTCTCAATGCATTAGATTTGAATCATAGAAATATTCTCATGACATGTACCAATATATTTCATTTACAAAGTATTGAACAAAAGATTGAAAAGATGAATGAATTATTTTCATATTTTGAAGGAAGACATTATTTTCATAATTTTACAGTGGATGCTACTCCTGGAAGTGATACAAGTGTGAGACATGTCAAGTCTATGCGAGTGATTCAAGTGGTGATTCAAAGGAATGATTCAACTCTTGTCTTTTGTCCTACTAATACGACTACGACGACTATGAACAACAACAACAACACCACTAATACTACTACTAATACGACTACGACGATGACTACTAATATTACCTCTACAAGTACTCCCATCACCACCTCTCACCAACTTGAAATACCTCATCTCATGATTGAAATTAGTGGACGAAGTTTCATGTTACATCAAATTAGAATGATGATTGGAACAGTGATTGCACTGATGAGAGGATTGTGTACTAAATTCAATCATGTTGTTTCTACAATCTCAACAACAGAAACCTCACCCATTGCCACCTTCTTTGAAGATCAATTATTCTCCAAAGACTCTCTTTTACTTGTTCCAATGGCACCCAGTGAAGGACTGTTTTTAGATTCGTTGGACTTTCCAAATTACAACTCAAATGTGGTTAAGAAACCATTTTCACCAATTGCATGGGAAGGTGAATTGAATGAACAAGCAGAACAATTTAAGAATCAAGTGATTATTCCAAATATTCTCAAAGTACTCAAAGAAAAGAATGTCATGTTGAATTGGTTGGTGGATTTACATTGCAACAAGTCAAAATACTTTGTCAAGCCACCACCACCAAAAAAGAAAAATAAATAGTGATGATGCATATTGGGAATTAATATTACATGACAGTGAGATCGTATAATATACGTTATTGTATTAGAAACAAAAAGTATATTAAAATGTCAATGAGAGATCGACCACCGAGATCGACCGTTGAGAGTCGACTTTTTAGTCCTGTCAGGCAGCCCCAAACCCCGCCATGACAAAAACTACAACAAAAAATTGTCCTCCACACCTTCAACCGACTTGATTCGCTCTTCACCTTCCTACCTCCTTTCCATTGAGTATTCTTCTGATCGTAGAGATACTCTCCGAGTAGTGATTTTGAAAACAACCCATATAATAATTATGAGAAAGAAGCCACAAGAAAAATCCTTTCAAACTACCTATGAAAATGTTCAGGACTGGGAAAAGGCCCTCCTCCATAATCAAAATACTCCAAATCATGTTCTTGTAGTGGATGTTCATGCTTCATGGTGCGGAAAATGTCTATCCATATTACCGGTGTTTGAAAAGATGCATGTAGAATATAGTGATGAACATCCTCTCTCTTTTGGTGTTCTCGATTCTGAAAAGATTTTAGCTGAATTACATGATTTGATGAAACCAGTTCCTAGACAGCTTGGAGTTCCATCCATGCAATTACGAGGGTCTTCAAAGAATTTACTTGTACTAGGTGACCATGAAGTGCTTTCCGATGATTTAAAAAAAAAGAAATTATACAAGGAAGATGTAAAAAGGAAAAATTATAAGGCAACTTTAGAATCATGTTCAGGACTCTCTGAACCACATTTCCTTATTTTTAAAGAAGGAGAGTTGATGAGAAAAGTGAGAGGTGTTAACACACCATCACTGCAACGATTTATTGTTCAACTAATAACGAATGAGGTCCCAGAAAAAAAGGAGGAACCACTTGAACAAGGTGTTTCTGGAATTAAAATTGAAACAACAGAAGAGGAAAAACGAGAGGAAATTAAACCAGAAGTTAAACAAGAAGTTGAACAAGAAGAAGTTAAACTAGAAGAAGTTAAACAAGAAGTTGAACCAGAAGTTAAACAAGAAGAAGTCAAAGATGTTGTTACTCCTGAAAAGTCGAATCCAGTCATTGAGGAGATTAATCCTCCATCAGAGAATGTGACAGAGAGTGAAAATGCTCAGATATCAAAAGAATTGAACAAGTCTGAATCAACGCAGGATGAAGAGCAGAAGCAGGATGAGTCTCGTGGAACTGAATCTGGAGGTGAACAACTCCTGCAGGCAAAAGAAGAGCAGTCAGAGGTAAACGAAACAATGATCAACACCCAAGAAGACCATCCACCACTGCAGGAAAAGCCAGCTTCAACAAAAGAATCTCCTCAACAAGAAACTCAAAGTAGTGACTTTAAATCAGAGAGTAGGCATGAAGAAGCTGCCAATGTGCATTCTGAAACAAATTCCGGAGCAGAGGTACATCATGAAAAAACAGAAGAGGTGAGAGTAGCAAAAGAGCATGTGACTCCAAAAACAGTTGTTGTGGACGAGAAAATGATCCATGACGATCAGCAGCATGAATCTCAGGCTTCAGTTGCCAAAGACGCACCCCCTAGACCTTGCGAAAATGTGGTCTTTGAGGAGAAGCAGGTCGAAAGCGTTGTGAGTGAAGAGGTGGTAGAAAATCATGGAGATGTTCCACCCAGTACCGAAAGCCACAGTGTTGATATAAATAAAGGTGAAAGCAATAAAGAATAATTTACTCGGAAGATGTGGGAGAAGAAAAGATAATCTTTTCGATACTTGCAAACAATTCTACAAGTTCTTTCTCCTTGGAAATATTCAAAGAGGCTGCGCTATTACTTTCCTCGTCTTGTTCGTTCTCTGTTGTTTGTTTCTTCTTCTTATTTTGAACCAAGTACTCCACTACCAATTGTTGACACTTATTGAGGGTGGGAATGATTGTAGTTTTAAAGGACTCGCCCAGTTGACCCTTGCAATATTCCTCAACGATGTGAACATCTTCAAGATAATATTTCAAGAGTGGATTCACCAGTTTACCAGGAACAAATAAGTAAATGGCCTTATCGTTCAACATTAACAAATATTGGCAAATGGAAATTAAACGAGTACCGAAAATCACAACACCACTTTGAAGAGTATCGTCAGTCAATTTTGCCAAATGTTCTGTATGATTGATTTTAAGCTCTTGTTTCTTTTCCTTGAGATAGGTTTTTTCTCGCTTCTTGTCCAACACCTTAATGAAAATGCTAAATTGTTTAGCAGTGGTTTCAAATTGTGAAATAAATGATTGCAGTGTTGTAGAGTTTGAATTTAGGCTTTCAACCAAAGTGTTCATCTCTTTTACCTCTTCCTCTCTTGTCTTATCAAGTTCAACCTTTTGATTCAATTGTTTCATTAATAATTTAATTTCTCTATTCAATTCAACAAATTGCGCTTGTTGCTCTTCACTTGCCATACATAACAAGTTGTTATATTCCTTAATGAATTGTAAATTCTTTTCATTAATATTGAGAGTGTAGTCAGAAAGAGTGGTAGAGCTACTAGAAGATGTCTTTTTTGATGATCCTTTTTGAAGTGAAGAGGAGGAAGGAGCATGTAGAGATCTCAATAAATTCTTACAAGTGTCATATAATATTAAATATACCATAATTGTACATTTGGTCTTGAGGATGTGTTTTTCGAGGGGATTAATAAATTCTTTTTCTAAATTTTCTTTATGCAATCGATGTAGGATATCTAAGGATTTGTTGTGTACAACAATTTGAGTATATAAATCGTTCAATTTGTCTTCTACATTCAATTCACCGCTCAATTTTTGTTCTAATTGTATACTTTGTTGATTGATGAGATAATCTCTAGTTTCTAAATACATCTTTTCAATTTTAGGAATTAAATATTGAATCATTTCATCAATAATAGAGTCGTCTTGACCACTGAATTTGTTTAACATGTTCTCATTGTCCTTATCATTGTCTAAATAAATTAATAATTGTTTTTCAATTAAATTGAAAATTTCATCCTTTTTAGGAAGAATCTTTTTGATTCCACTTTGTTCAGGAGATGAGACAGAAGATTTGCTCGATGATGATACTTTCTTTTGCTTGTTGCTCGATGATGATTTCTTTGATGAACTCTCCTGTTGTGAACAAGATGAGGTATTTGTTGGAGAAGAAGTGATAGCACTTGCTGTCTTTAAATAAATTCCAACCTGTTCCAATGCAAGTGGTTTGAATTGATCATTTAATATTTGATCAATCATATCCAAACTCATGACATATCGATTATCAAATACTACAATACTATTACTCTTAATAATATTCTTATTCAATACGATATACTTGTCAATGAGTTGTTTCATATCACAACTAGTATCAATTAATACACAATGATCACCACCATTGTTTTCAATATGTAATGGAATAGATTTGTGTTTGTCATTGTTACCATTGAGAGTGGAATCAAAAATAGAACGAAAAGATTCAATCAATTTCATATGAATGATCATTTCATCTTGAATGTTGATGAGAGATGTGGTATTAGTGGTGGTATTGGTGGTGTTAATACTAGTAGTTGTTGTTGTTGTAATTGACATGTTCTCAGAGTTGTTGAGAATATTCGAATTTGCCAAATTTTGAGAATCTCGATAGGCATTCAAATAATTGATCATTTGTTGAGTACTCTTAAAAGCCTTATAACCAATCAATTGTTCTACTCTTTCAATCGAAATATATCCATTATTGTCAATGAATTGACAAATTTGATCCGTTGCATTCTTTTCATAAATGTTTGGAACATAGAGAGTGGAATTCACTTGAAGAGTGCCATTCAATTGTTTGTTCTTGATTAAATCTTTGATGATGGTTTGAAACAATTCCAATTCAATTTCAACATTGCTCAACTGAGGATCATTTGAAGTATCATTTGCCATCATGATCATGGAAGAATCATTCATCATGACATAGAATTGTTTTGTAATTTTCAATAACTCATTACACTCAATAGATCTACTAATAATACCATTACATATACCAATAGTAATTGATTTGAGATTATTGATATACTTTTCAGTATAGAGTGAGTTATTACTAAAAATAGTACCATTCAACAATAAATGTTTGTATTTAGCAATAATATGTTCCTTAATAAAATCAGAAGGTAAAAACAATTGTTTGGTTAATATTCCAATGTAAATGTACCCATACAAGACGAGTAATTCATTGATTTCCATAACCACTGATTCGAGATAGGATTCAGTTAGAATTTCGCATCCATTGATCAAATCAGGTAATATCAAGTGTTTGTTAATTAAATTTTGAATAGGTGATTCCAAGTACGTAAAATCAACTCTCAATAGTTTGGGTAATTCGTTCTTGTTGATTCTACCTCCATACTTTTCTAATAGTACTTGTAATTCATATTCAATTTGATCTTTGGTAATAAACTCTTTGCCATCGGTGGTGAAACACAACTGATCTGAAAAGGCTTGATCATATTTTTTAATATATTGAATTAATTCAATAATATGATGATCATTGAGTTTGTATGATGAAGAAGAAGAGAGAGATTCTTGTTGGATGGTTTCAAATTGTTGTTGAAGTTGCTCGAGGGATAATTCATTCCAATTTTCATGATTGATCCAAGTATTCATAGTCTCATCATCCGAGGTATTGGCAGCCATTGTTGTTGTGGTTGGATGATTGTTTTTTTGATTGCAGTTGTTGTTGTGGTTGTTATGGAGTTGAAGAAGCAAAGCACGATTCGAGAGAAAAAAGTCTCTTTTCAGGAAAATTTTTTGAAATAATGAACAGTGGCTGGAGAGTACTATTGCGCAAAAGGACGAGAGAAAAAAGTCTCTTTTCAGGAAAATTTTTTTATATTTTTAAAAAATGAATTTCTCGCTTTCCAAATCATCATCGAACAAGAAAACACCTTCAATTTCCATTCAGCTCGGAGGAACAAAAAAACAATCTTCCGCTCTATTCAATAACAACCAAACAAAAACGAGCAATTATAAATCTGATCAGAAAATAGAATCACTATTTTCAGAGCAAGATGAAGAAGAAGAATCAACCATCAACCATCATTCAAAATCATTACACCCAAAAAGTAAATCCTCATCATCCTCTGCAATGACTCAATCATTACTCTTTCAAAAAATACAACATGAAAAGAAAAAAGTAGATCCTCAACAGACCGTCAAATCTTCCCTTCAAGATATTGATCAATGGGAATTAGTAGATCATGAACAAGATCAAAAATCTGAATCAATTGTTGAACATGCTTTCGAAAATATGAAAAATGTAATTTCAAAAACTTATACACAAAAACTATCTGAAAAAGATTCAAATCCACAAGAATCTAAATATATTGCAAATTTAGTGAAACTCGCTGAGGAAAGAAAGAAAGAAAAAGAGTTAGCACAAATTAGAAGAATGCAAAAAGAATCATCCATCAATTCAAGTCATACAGTTTTTGTAACAGAGGAATATAAACAAAAACTCAAAGAACAAGAACGATGGACTGAAGAAAAAGAAAGAGAAAAAGAAGAAGAATTAAAAAAAAATGTAACAAAAATAGGAATGGGTAACTTTTATAAGAGTTTATTATCATCATCGACAAGACACGACGTTAGTGATGAAAAGAGTAATACTACTACAAGTAACACCACCACTGATGAACGAGATCACAAAGAGACTTGTGAGATCTCAACAAAAAGTGATCTTTATGATCATCCACAACAACAGCACAGAGGCATAAAAAGAAAACAAGAAACTTCCTTAATGAATGAAAGTAGATCACCCGTCGGACAGTCCTCTCAATCACAGATCTCTTCTTCTGAAATGAAATCTTCCTTCAGTTTGGAACAAGAAGATCAACCACAACTCAAAATTGTAAAGATTGATAAGGAAGAAGCTGTATTGAGTGCACGAGAGCGTTATTTGAGGAGATTGGCAGAGAAAAAACAAGAACAACTTTCGAAGTGATTTGAAATTCAAATTAGAAAAATCTGAAAATTATATGGACCATGTTAGGTTCAATGGTGTTAGGTTCAATCATTGAACAACATGAAAACTCAAACCTACACAAAGAAATGCATGCCACTCGACGTCGAGAAAATTCCTTGTTGGAACATTCAAGAAGTGCACTCTGACATGAGTGTTGAATTCCAACATGAATTGTTCATGGTCCTTGAAAGTTTATGAATTCCAATAAAAAAATGAACAATCAAAACAAACCAAAGAAAACATTCATGTATACACCTTCCATTCAATTATCTTCGGATGATGAAGATGATGAATTTTATCACCAAATTGTACAATCATCAAAGAGACCACCACCACCACCACCACCACCACCATTGAATCGTGATCGTGACAACAAGCCTTGTAATGATGACGATCGTCAAAATCATCATTCTTTGAAACTCTATTCGATCATCAATTCCGATGATGATGAGCAAGATTCTTGTCGTCATTTTGATGAAAATCCATCATCATCCAATAATAATAATAATAGTACCAAACAATTTGTTAATGTTCCACTTTCGCATGGTTTGAATTGTTTATTTCCATTCAATCCCTATCCATCACAAATTGAATTTATGAATCGAATCATATACACGTTGTTGAATCATGATGGTAGTGGTGATGATGAAAAGGGAATGTCTCATGCCATTCTAGAGAGTCCAACCGTATGTACGAGAATAATGATTACAATATTATATATGTTTCAATATGAATTCAATATTTAAATATTTACAACTATGAATTCAATATTTAAATAATTGCACTCAATGAAACGTTTTGATGACACAAATATCTCCAAAATTTATGATTGTGCACATACATTCTCATCCATCCATCCATCCATCCATCCATCCATACACTCGCACACGCACACGCACACACATACGCATCATCCATAACTGCTGTATATAATAATAACATGTGATACAACAGGGTACAGGTAAAACTTTGAGTTTATTATGTGCAACCTTATGTTGGCAGCAACACCTTAAAGCCACAATGATCCAAAAATGGAAAGAAAAACATTCTCATATTTCACATCATGAAAACTCTTTGGATGCAACAACAACACTAAGTATACCATCCTATGGACATCTCTCATCCTCATCATTATCAGATCAATCACAGAGAATGGCCACTTTGAATCATTCATTTCAGACTCATACCATGAATGATCACACAAGCAGCAGCAATACGATGAATCTTGTCTTGTTTGATTCTTCCTCATCACCACTCAAGAAGAGATCTGTCATGACATTGCAGAGTGGTTCTTCCTCTTCTGAAAATGAACAAGCAGTAGTACTTGTAGAAGATCATGTCCTACTAGTAGGACTTCCAAAGAAACAAAAGCTCGAGTATACAATTCACAGCACCAATGGCAATATCAATACTTGTAATAGTACTATGAATACCAAAACTGGTAATGCCAATACTACTAATATCAATACTAATACTAGTGGTATCAATAGCAATATCAATACTAGTAATAGCAATACCACTCCTTCCTCAGACTTTCATCAAATTTCTAAAATTTTACTTTATTTACAAAAAGGATTTAATCACAAGGCAGAACGTGAAATTCTAAAATCCAATCCATTACCAAAAATTATCTATTGTTGTAGAACTCATTCACAAATCAAACAGGTGGTTAAAGAACTTCGAAAGACAGCTTACACTCCTAAAATGACCATATTAGGAAGTAAGCAACAATATTGTATCAATCCAATGGTGAATAATAACACTCGAATCAATTCAACCAATAACAATAACAACACTCGTTCGACACGAGATGTTCAAACGGAATGTCAAAAATTAATTGATGCTTCTAATTGTTATTATTATAAGAACTTGCATGCACTTGTTAAGAGTTCTAATTATTCTCCACATTCTAAACATTTAATTTATGATATTGAAGATTTAATTAAGGAAGGAAAAAGAATGAAAAGTTGTCCATATTTTGCATCTAAAGAATTTCTACTCGATCCAGAAATTGAATTCATTTTGTGTCCTTACAATTACATTCTATCACCCATCACAAGAGAGATCATGTCCATCAATGTTCAAAATTGTGTGTGTATTTTTGATGAAGCTCACAACTTGGAAGATGCATGTCGAGAGGCTACTTCATTGACTCTGAGTGACTATGAACTTGAACATGTGTGTCTCAATGAATTGAATTCCATTCTCACAACAACAACCACAACATGGACAAAGTCTACGAGGGCTGGTAATGGCACTACTACTACTACTAATACTACTAATACTAATAATACTAATAATACTACTACTACTCATCATGATGAAAAACCTTTGATTCATGGAGGAGAAGAAGAACATCATTCTTCAATGAACAGAATTCAATACAAGTATCACAAAACACTTCATGATTTTATTCTAAGAATTTTAAATTGGATGAACACTCAACAATTAACACCTCTTTCCAATCATGAGGGTGATGATGATTCTATTGAAGGTAAAATTATTAAGGAAAAACATGGAATCATGAATGAATGGATGGAACCTATTTTTGGTCATGTCTCGATTCCATATCATGATCATTTAAAACAAATCAAACATGCACTGTATCATGTAAAATCATCGAGTCCAATCAAGAAACAAACCAATGGAACGATTCATTTGACACTCTCTCAACGATGTATTAATATATTGCACGAATTGGTGACCATCTTTGATTTAATGTTAAGAGATGATTACAAATTCATGCAAGATTATGCAATTGTCTTGATCAAGAAAGCTGTAAATCATTCCATAAGAAGAGGTTCTACAAATATGGCAACTAGTAGTACTACTACTACGACTCTTCGTACCAAAACCACCACCACCACTCCAACAAATCACTGCTCTCATGCAACAACAATTTCATCACCATTTTCTATTGAATTTCAAATTAATTTTTGGTGTCTTTCACCTCGGGTTGCCTTTGAAGAATTGAAACTCTTCTCCAAATGTACAGTATTAGCATCAGGTACTTTGAGTCCTCTTGATACATTTTCCTATGAATTGAATACTCCATTTACAACCATCTATGAGGCAGAACATGTCATTGAACAAGATCAAGTATGGGTTGGAACATTGGGACAATCGAATGAAGTGAGTTTGAATGCAAACTATTCCAATAGTTCTACACCACAGTATCAAGATGAATTAGGAAGAATTATTTTATCTATTTGTCGTCAAGAAGAAGAGAATTCCACATTCATGAATGGCGGAGGAATTCTTGTCTTTTTTCCTTCCTATTCATTCATGCAGAAAATTTTAAAGAGATGGAAACAAAGCAATACCACTGCTACCAATACCACTGCTACGAATACCACCACTGAATCATGCTCACAAAACTCCTGCTCACTTTTGAAACAAATGGAACAATACAAGGATGTATTCTTTGAAGAAAAGGGAGCCAATATTGAAGAGACCATTCAAAAGTATTATGCAAGTGTTTCTGAATATAAGAAGAAGAATACTATCACTACTACTACTGCCACGAATTCCACTACTACCAATACTACTACCAATACTACTACCAATACTACTGGTAAGAATAATCATCCTCCCAAAAAGAATGGTGCTCTCTTTATGGCTGTGTGTCGAGGCAAGGTATCTGAAGGTATTGATTTTTCCAATGACAAGTGTCGAATGGTGATCTGTATTGGTATTCCATATCCAAATGTGAGGGATTTAAAAGTGTCTCTCAAAAGAGAATATAACGATCAAAAGCAGCAAATGTATTCTTCCACTAGTCAGAATCATACTGGTGGTAGTGGTAATAATGGTGGTCAGAGTGGTGGTGATGGCTTGTATAGTATTGGTCATAGTAGAATAAGTAATTACAATATGACATCAGGTGAACATTGGTATACAAGTCAAGCCTTTAGAGCCTTAAATCAAGCTGTTGGTCGATGTATTCGTCACAAGAATGATTATGGAGCTATTTTATTGATTGATGAAAGATTTCAAAATAAGAATAGTGCCAAGACTGTGAATGCATTCTCAAAGTGGATTCGAACAAGACTTGTGAATTATCCATCTCTTCAAAGTTCATTGAAATCTCTGAATGAATTTTTTAGAAAGTGGAATCATTATGGAAAGAGTGATCATGAAAGTGGTGGTGGTCAGAGTGATGGTCAGAGTGGTGGTTTGGGTACGAGTGGTGGTCAGAGTGGTAGTGGTGGTAGTGGTGATGGTACAACAAGTAAGATTTCAACAACTAGTGCTACCAGTGGTGGTAAGGATAGTAGTGTTCTTGTTGTGTCTGGTGGTGGTAGTAGTACAAGTCATCATTGGGTAAAAGCAGCAGCACCACCATTGTTGAATGATCGCCATGGCAGTAGTGATCAACGACTGTTGCTGCACCACAAAGAAGAAGATGGTATTGTTCAACATCAACAACATGACTTGTCTTGTGCTTCTTCTCAAACGATCAATAAGAAGAAGGGTTCTGAAAATTTTAATTCTTCAAGTGAATCCTTAGAAATGCTCAGTGATGATAGTTGTCATGATGATGACATTAAAAAACAGAGACTGACTGATAGTGATGATGATGATGAAACCATGTTACAAATTCCATTCACAACAGCCACAACTACTACCACTCTCAAATCATCATTGATGAATACATATATTCAAGATGATGCAACAACAAGTCATCATTCTAGGATCAATTCAACAACAAGTCATCTTGAGATTTGTTGTACTTCATGTCAGAGTACACTACTCTTTTCCAATCAAGGTCAAAGGATTGCATTACAACCAAATTTAACTCTTCTAAAAAGTATTCTCTCATCCTTTGAGAATGTATTTCATCAACATGAAGGTATGTATAATTCATAATGATGGTCATGTATTATGAATAATTGCAATTCATAATGATACCTATGACATACCATAATAATATAATCCATATTGAATCACCATCTAGTATTGAGAATTGATTCCAAATTCACTCATTCATGCACATGCACTCAAACATTTACTGATGAACAACAGCAGAATAGTCTGAGATTAATGACCAAATCATCCTCTCGACTCGATCAACAACACTTTCCCAGTGATCGTCTCCTCAACCTTGATGAACAAAATTTCTTCAAGTTCCAATTTCATCAACAACTCTATTCCATACCAATGAAGGATCACACAGCAAAATCTCAAACAGACAACAAGATGATCACACACTTTTCTGAAAGTGATGGAGTCGTGTATAGTCTCTTGTTTTGTAAGAATTGTTCGTTTGTGAGTGGAGTTAAAATTATTGCTACTGATCAAGTCCATCAGAATGAAATGAATTCTGTCATTCTGTTCTTACCAATTCTGAGTTCTTATGACAATATGAAGAAACGTTCACACCCAACCATCCCCAGAACACAACCCTCACCACTACCATCACCACCACAAACAACTCTTCACAAAGCACCGCCTGATGTGGTGGTGGTAAGTTCTGACGATGAAGAACAAGAAACCCAAGTTCTATAAAGCTTGAACATACTTGATCGTTAACTCCATATATATTATGGTGTTCAAGCTTTTGAGTTTCGAAAAGGGGGCATCATCAAAAGATGAACACTAAGATCAAAATGAAAAAATGGTGATGCATCAAACACAACAGAATAATCGGAGGACTACTAGGTCATCAGCAACCACCACCACCACCACCACATCAACCAACAATACTTTTACTACTACTACGACTGATCAACAACAAGAACAACAACAGACCCAACAATTTGATGAAACCACCACAAATCATGATGCATTCGATCGACGACAACAACAAAAAGATTTTGATCATCAAATTCTTTCTCATGCTTTTCCCTTTTCTACCCATGATTCTACCTCAGTGTCTAATTTCATCACGGACGTAAAAGTTGATCCAAAAAGAAAGTTATTACTTGCAAGTACCTATTCATCGGGAAGAGTCTATGTTTTCGATTTGGATACTCGAAAATTCTTATATTCCATCCAAGTGGGTGATCGCAGTGGGTGTTGTTATTATTTGACAATTGAAGAGCCTTTTCGTCATGAAAATGATCTCATCATGATGAAAGGTCTATCTACTACTTCAAGCACTACTGGCACAACTAGTACTACTTCAAGCACCACCACCACTACTACGAATGAAGATGAGAATCGACACATGCCATCATCAATGACATGGGATCAAGAAACCATTCAAATGGCATGCACTTATCCAAGTGTGATTGTTACCACAGACATGTACTCGTATTACACGATCGAAAAGTTCATCATGTGTCCAACCTTGTATGAACCAAATGTTCGAACAGCAACAAGACTATCCAATCACAGGTCTCGAATGTGGAAATGCACATCATCCGAATTTAATGCTCTCAGAGGTTTATGTGTGGATCATTCATCTCGAAGACTTTTTGTGAGTGATCGAGATGCAAGTAAAATTAGAGTATTATCGAGTAGAGATGGACATTTATTGAAATCCTTTGCATTCAATGCTCCTACGGATCTAGCATTTTACGAAGGAAATTTGTTCGTTTGTGAAAAAATCAACCAATGGCGTGCATATTGTTTCATCCATAGATGGAAGTATTTTGAGAAGTATTGCAGTGGGATGTTTTAACTATCCAAGAGGTGTTGTTGTCGATCCAAACACTAAACATATTATTGTGAGTGATAGTGATCATCATAAAATCAAGGTATTCAATTGGACTGGGGAAATGTTGGAAGAGTTTCAGCATGTACCAGGTAGTACTCATTCAAATTTATTGAACACTCCATTTGGATTGTCATTGGATGATCATGCAGGATTTTTATACGTAGCAGATTGTTACAATTATATGATACAAGTGTTTCACTATAATGCAAGATGGTATAAGAATGAAAAAAGATTTAAGGATTTGCTTAAAAGTTCCAAACAAGAACAGTTCAGCGATTTAATAGTAATAATAGTACCGTGATGAATAGTAGATGAGTTATTGAACCTTTGTCGTCTTTGATGGGTCAACTCGAATGTTCGAAATGATCGTCTCTCTTCACACTCAATATGTTTCAAGCTCCATGCTCTCATGTAACTATAACTGATTAACTGGTTAAACATTCTTTTGTGGCCACTTCCCACCACTCACTTGAGCTTGGAATCTTCATGTTTGTTTCTTCTCTGATTCTCTTGGGAAGGAAAATTCAACAATCGTGTGTGTACAACCAATTTTGCACATGTTCTTTTGGTTTGTTTTGAAAATTAGGATTGGTCTTAACGTTGGCCTTTCATTTTGATTGAGATTCAGATTTGATCCTTGTTGTAGTGAATTGCAGAGATTGGAACTGAATCCAGCAAAGCCTTTTGAACAAAAGCTCAAAAAAAAAACCATGCCCAAACAACCGAGCCATAAGTTACTTTCCAAGTTCTTTGGAAAGTATAAAGGCACAAATCCTTTCAATGTTCTCATTGCAGGAACAAAATGTCGTAGGAATTATTCCCAAGAAATTGCAACTGAAATCACTAGTTAAAAGAATCATGAACCCTTTAGAAATCAAGCTAATAGTAGATACAGACGAATACTGTTCACGACAATTTCTATCAAGAAGGTGCAGAATTCGTCGGAAACGAAAGTGCAAACGAGGAGTCCACTTACTTTGGTGATGTAATTACCATCAAATCAAAGACACAATAATCATGACAAAGCCACTTCAAGAATTGTTAAGGTTATATAATATATATTATTTTATATAAAGTAGCAGTTAAGGTAATATATGTTAAAAAATATATATATAACATAAATAATATTGTTGCTTTAAGAAACCAGAACTAAAATGCAAATACAAAATTCTTTTGCACCTCTCGAAATGCAAAAACTCTTTCGCCCACCGTGGGGCTCGAACCCACGACCACAAGATTAAGAGTCTTGCGCTCTACCGACTGAGCTAGACGGGCAGACATAATAATTGAACGTTTGTTCTTGAAAAAATTAACCAAGGTTGTGCTTGTAGCTTCGGAAGGAAGAAACACTCTGTTTGTGAGTTGATTAAAAAAATCTCCACAACATATTTTGAGAGCTATTGTTGTTGTAGCTTTAAACCCTCTTCATCATTGCCGCTGTTCTTCGGATTTTACTCCGATTTCGATATCGATTTATTGGCATCATCCACCAATATATTCGTCATTTTGGATTAATTTTTCATACTCCTTCTCTCAATTCACAATTTCTCGTACCATCATCATCATGTTACCCACCACCACCACCACGACTACTAGTATTACTACAAGCAACAACAACACCTATAAAAAGTACACATGTGGTTGCATTCCTAATCGATTCACTAAACCCATTCAAAGATCTTTTTATTCCTTTGCAACCTCCAAATGGGGTGTCATTCTATTAATTATTGTGACCTTCATTACTCTCAATTCCATTCTTCATTTATTACAATCTTTATTAGATATTTCAATTATGGATAAAACAACATTGGTTGAAGATGATGTTTCACAAATGGGAAGTTATTGTCATCGGATGTACAAAGATAACATTATGAAAGTGAATTCAATTTCTAAATTATGTTATGAACCAATGGATATTGTTTATACTTGGGTGAATGGTTCTGATCCAATTCATAAAGCATTATTGAAAGAATATACAGAACAACAAGAACAACAACAATTAACAGAACAAGATGAAAATGATGACAGCGAAACTACTACCAAGACGACTACAACGAGTCGTATGAGTACTAGTAGTAGTAGTACTACTACTACTACAACTGGTGGTACTACAACAAGCACTACAACTGGTAATGACAGCAGTGTTAACACTCATAGAACCAAAAAGAAGGATTCAAATGATCCTCTCAATAATAAGAAAGAAAATAATCGTAAAAACAATGAGCAAACCAATCATAAAGTGCAATGGAAGGGAAGAAGAAGAAAAATTAAATCAAGTCATTGACAAGACTTCAAAAAAGAAGAAGACCAATTCTCATCATCCTACTCTGAAGAAGAAGAAACTCGTTCACACAACTCGTGCTTCTACCACCACTGCATCTCGTGCTTCTACCACCAATGATCATACTAATAGTAATCATAATATCAATAATAATAATATCAATAATAATATCAATAACGATAATCATAATATCAATAATAATAATATCAATAATAATAATATCAATAATAATATCAATAATAATAATACGAATCATTCCAATAATAATACTACTCAACAACAAGACAACACTGTCAGTGGTTCCAATCGTTTTAGAGATAATGATGAATTGAAATTCAGTTTAAGAAGTTTAGAAAGATTTGCTCCATGGGTTCGAAATATTTATATTGTCACCAATGGTCAAGTACCCAATTGGTTAAATATTAAGAATCCAAAAATCAAAATTGTGAAACATTCAGATATTTATAGAGATGTTTCACATTTACCTGTATTTAGTTCTCCATCCATAGAATCTCATATTCATAGAATACCTGGTCTATCTAAAAAGTTTATCTATTTAAATGATGATGTCATGTTTGGAAATTTTGTCTATCCTGAAGATTTTTATAGTCATTCGACAGGACAAAAAGTATTTCTCAGTTGGGAAGTTCCACCATGTGCAAGTGGATGTCAAGAATCATGGTTAGGAGATGGTTATTGTGATTTGTCATGTAATGTCACTCAATGTGATTTTGATGGTGGTGATTGTATTGGAAATAATGTGAGAATGTCGTATGGATCTTCCTCATATGGTAATTCCTGGAATAACTGGAATACTGGAACTTCCAATGTTCCTTCTTGGATGTCAGCAGGATCTTCATTGAAATCTAATTACAATAATTATTGTTCTGCTTCATGTCCTGATTCATGGATTGGTGATCGATTTTGTGATCGACCATGTAATGTTAAGGAATGTGGTTTCGATGCAGGTGATTGTGATTTTAAAGAATTGAAAAGAGTTTTATTGCATCAAGATGTGACTGAGGATTTGAATGTCATTTATGTGAGATCGAACATTTCTTCTATTTATTTGAATTTAAATCCAATTTTCATGAATTCACAAATTACAAATGGAAATCATGATAATGAGAAATTGGTGAGAAGTTCAACCATTTCACAAAAAGAAAAATTATTAATCTTTACATTTAATTATCAATTATTGAAAGCAAATATCACACACTATACCTCTATCAATGACACTCTTCACAACAATTCCACCACTAAAACCCCCCTTAACACCAAAACTCTTAACACCAAAACTCCCCTTAACACCACCAATACTATTATTCATAACACCAAAACCCTTAACAACACCATGAATTCATCCAATAGAGACATGTATTATGAAGAAATCATTCAAGTGACATTAGAAGCTGAAAGAATTCTCAATGCTAGTACTAGTAGTAGTAGTAGTAGTAGTGATAAGGATGATCATAATCACTACACTTCGACCATAACGACTCATTACACAACTGTGAATCGAGAAGAAGAAGAAGGTCTCGATTCTAAATTAATCATTTCCAAATCCTTTATTGTGAAATTAGTGAATCATGAATCCTTTGAGTATATTCAAAACAAGTTTAAAAAAAAGAGAGAAGAACAAGATATTATGGCATTAACTGAAAGTGAATATTCTCAAATGCAACAGGATGTTCATTATTCTTCCAAAGTCATCATTCCAACCCTAATAACCACAAGCACAACTAGTAGTAGTAGTATGAAAAGATCCATAGTACAGAATTCTAGTGGTGGTAGTTTTGGTGGTGGTGTTAGTAATGGTTCTGGTGCATGGAGTGATGGTCAGAGTGGTGCATTGAGTAGTAGTAATGGTATGACTTTTCCTTCAACAACAACAACAAGTTCAACCACCACTGCATCGACTACTACCACTACTACTACTACTACTACTCCTTCTCAAACAACAACTTCCTCTTCAACAACAACAACAACAACCAACACTGCTGCTGCTGCTTCATTGACTACTACTCCTTCTCAAACAACAAGTGGTGGTGCCACTACTCCTACTCAAACTACGACCAATATGAACAAGAGGAGTAAGAGTCGTAGTAGTGGTAGTAGTAGTGGTAGTAGTATGGGTATTAGTGGTAGTAGTAGTAGTGGTAGTAGTAGTGAGAAGAAAGACATGTTGCAGAAAAATCAATTGGACAAGAATGATCCAACAACAACAACAACATTACCTTCTACCACCACCATCACCACCACCACCACCACCACTGAAATTGATGATCTTTCTGATGTGGTAATGGTGGCGGCTGATAAAAGTCCTACTAGAAGAAACACTATCGACCGACAATCGAGTCAAAGTGGTGGTGGTGGTGATGATGATGTGGAGGAGGGTAATGATGGCGATCATGATCGTACTACTACTACTACTACAACTGCTACTACTTCTATGACTTTAGAAAAGACTCCAAAGACTCTGAAAAACCCCTCAAATCCTTCTTCAAAATCTCGGAATTCCAAACGACCATCTAGACATCATGATTCATCAACACGATCCACATGGACTCGAAACAAAGTCTCTAAAAAGAAGAATCCAATGATGCCAGCTGAGTTAGTGAATGATGATGATGGCGATGGTGAACAAGAACAACCAATGAAAAAGAAGAATCGAAAACAAAGTGAATCGATTGTTGAAGAGGAATTAATGGCCTTAAGAAATGCTCTAAAAAGAAGAAAACAAAGAAAATTATTGAGTATACCTAAGGATGATACTTTAAAAAGAAGAATTCACAATACTGTGAGTGAACATTTTCACTATACGAATGATGGCGATGGTGAACAAGAACAACCATCATCAACATCATCATATTCATCACTAACAACACCACCTCCAACTTCATCCCCAACATATTCATCCCCAACATATTCATCACTAACAACACCACCTCCAACTTCATCCCCAACTTTATCCCCAACATATTCATCCATTCGAATTCCTATTGTTCAATCTCATCCAGAAGAAATTGTAAATTCACTTCGTCATCAATTATTAGAAAAAGAATTTTCTCAAAAAACGTATAAAAATATGAAAAAGAGTATTGAAAGACAAATTCATCAAGATCAAATTCAATACAATAGTGATCACAATGATGAAACTTCCTCACAACAACACTCATCACCCTCTGCTCGTCGATTATTAGACAAATTTGGTGATTCCTTAATTCATGTGAACAAATTACTAAATAAGGAATATGGAAGAGCTTCAAGAAAAGTACCAGCTCACATGCCACATATGATTGATAAGGATATTATGAGTGAATTACAAAAGAAATGGGAATATGAATTTAATGTGACATCTTCCAATCGATTCCGTTCCTCAAATGATATGCAATATACATTTACATATTTTTATTATTTAATGCATGAAGGAATTCCATACAATGCAACAGAATTCTTCAAAGAGCATGTGGATACGAATCAAGATGATATTATGGATGATTATGAAATTAGAAATTTAGCAAATATCATGTTTAACAAGTACAAAATATCACAAGACAAGGTCAATGAATTGTCAAGAAATATTACAAAAAAGATGAATGATTGGAAACGAGTGAATGAAAAGAATGAATTGGATCAAACTGTGAGTGAGAAGAAGAGTGGTAATAGTGGTGATGGTGGTAATAGTGGTAATAGTGGTGATGGTGGAAATAGTGGTGATGGCAGTACAACAAGTGATGGTGGAAATAGTGGTGATGGCAACACCACCACCACCACCGATTCAACCTTTTCTTCTTACTTTTCCAATTGGAAACGTGGAACTAGTTCATTTGGTTCTTGGTCATCCTATGATTCTTATAGCTCATTTAAGGATTATTTGAAATCAGTTCGATCTGTCTTGTTTGGACATTTAAATTATACAAATTTGGTCATGTCTAACTATGATCCAAATTACAAGACAAGAACAAGACCAACATTTGATGATTTTGTGAATAGTGGTTTGAGTGATATTGTGAAAACTAAAGTTCACAAAAGTGAACAACGTTTCCCATACACTCTTGAAGATTTATCTGAAGTTGGATTTCACATGATTAGAGATGATTATGATAAGGTTGGAGAACAATTAGATGAATTAACAAGAAAGAGACCTAAATTTATTTGTCTCAATGATGATATGAATCAAACAAAACCAAATATCGAAGTTGTTGAATTACTTCATAATTTCTATCGATGGTATTTCCCAAAACCATCTCAATTTGAATTACCAGAAGGAGAAGAGAACCCATTTCTATACATTGATCAATTGCAACAATATCATGATATGCAAAGATATTCCAAGTATGCCTACGATGGTGTTGTTGTGACTGCCATTTGTTTCATTTGTTGTTGTGGTTTGATTTTGAGAAGATGTATTGTTGCTAACAACAAGTCGTCGAATCGATCGAGTGGTAGTGGTGTTATTGGTAGTGGTGTTATTGATAGTAACAGTAGTAGTAGCATTAACAACAGTCGATCCATGCAACATCAGCATCACACCAGTAATAGTCCACAACACCAACATACAGGAGGATTCTTTACCCATTCAGCCACCTCCACTGATCATCAATTACCTTCTCAACAAGGTCTTCATGTTACTGCTCACAAATCTCATCACCAATATGGTGGTGATCATGAAGAAGTGTAATAAAAGTGGAATATTTCGATTCATTTCTTGATCGTTTCGGCTGCCGAGTGGTTTCTATGAGCCTGAAATCAAGATTGGCTCTTTTTACATGACCAATAATTAGTAGGATTCGAAAAGTTCTATTAACAAAAAACTCAATTCATCTTTTTATATATACACGAGTGAGTGATCTCTCTTTTGCCATATTCACCATGGTGAATCATCATCTAAATGGTACAAAAATCACTACAGCAATCAAACCAAGGACGATCAACAGTAAAATAACAATAATTATAATCTTCCACTTGTCAGAAGTATTATTCAACAATGTCTGTAACCTCTTATTCGTTCTTTCCAATAAACCCTTTGTCTTCTCCACATGATTTTCCATTTCTTCTAATTCTCTCTTGTGTTCATCCAATTCATTTCCAATTTCAATAGCAATTTGGCCAACTCGTTGAACCGTTGTAGTCATCTTGTCCATCTGTTCATCTTGATTTTTTCTCACAGTGTCTTGAATTTGCAACTGTTCATCAATAAATCTTTGATTATCCTTGATATAGGACTCTTCAAGCCTTGAATATCTTCCTTTACTAGTAGTGGTGGTGGTGGTATTCTTAAAAGAGTCATGATAATTTCCATCATCATCTTCATCATTTAATTGTGCCGATGATGAGCCTTTTTGTTTCGGATCGGAAAATAGGCTTTCCTTTTGAAGTTGAGTTTGTTTTTGTTTTCTATTCTTCATTTGTTGTTCTATTTGTCTCATTTGCTGTGATGTAGAGGAAATAAACAATTTACGTTTTCCAATCTCCTCTCGGGATATATTTGAAAAGCGTTGAGGATTCTTTTCAACAATATTGATAGTTCCTTGCAAATCATTTAAAAACAAATCAATGGATTGAATATTATTTCTCAGCTCTCTCTCAATACCAGTAATTGAGACTTCATCCATTGTACCCGATCCGTTGATTTGCTCCATATACATCTCTTGGAGCACTTTAACGGAACGGAGCTTTTCAGTGACCTTGTCTTTGACAATATCAAAGGGATCGGCCGAGTTCATTTTTTTTAAAAATAAAAATTATTTTAGAAATTAATTTTCAAATCGAATTAGAAACTGCCAATTGTCATCTGACGATTCACAAAAAATAAGTGACTCATTCTGATCAGAATCCCATGCAATCATTACGTCATCAGCCATGGTTTTCACATCATCGAAACAAGATTCTTGTATTGATACTTGTGGCCATTATGGTCATTTACATTCTCATGTTCAATGCCATCCGACATCGAATTTACGATACTAATGACAATACTAATGAATCAAAGAAACATGACACAACAGCAGAACAACAATCCAAAGATTTACTCGAACATTTATTATCTCAACTCAAATCACAAAATGAACAATTACGACATCAAGTTGTAACTTTACAACAAGAATTAAAAGTTGCAAAAGTATTCAATCCGAACAGAAATGATGACAGTGATGACAGTACTCGTAGTAGTACACTTTCAACAACAACAACTCATTCTTCTACAACACTTTCAACTCCTTCTTCTTCAACACTTTCTACAACACTTTCAACTCCTCCTCAGTCTCCTTATAATGAATTTGAATATTGGAATCGAAATTATTACATTCGATCCGATCCTCATCGAAATGCTTGTTCCAATGATATTGGATTTGGACTTGTGGAGAGATGGAGAAATGCAGAGAAATTAATTTGTGGGATTGATTCATCTATTACTACCACAACTACTACTGAAACTACTACTACAACTACTTTAAAAAAACCTTCTACAACTTTTACTACAACTTCATCATCAATTGCTCCATCCAAAGTCTTGATGTATCGCATTCAACAAACAAGACATGTGGCACAAGATAACTTTATTCGAATATTGAACATGATTGTTCCATTAAATTCATTCTCTGGAAATGGATTCTCAAATGGATGGTATGCCAATTGTGAAAAAGATACTTCTCTATGGGTCGATCATGATCAACGATTATTTCAATTACATTTGAATCATTGGATGCGAGCATTTAGAGGAAGTACTAATTCGAACAAGATTCAAAAATGTGATCAAATCATTTCAAAGAGACTTGTTCTTGTTCAGAGAGATGGTGAATTTAATTTATTTCATTCCATGACTGATTTTGTGAATATTTTCATTAATTATTTAATGATTTTAGGAAAGAATGTCCAAGAGGGTCGAATTCCCAATGATTCGACGAATGAAAATGTTGAGTTTTTTGATCATTTTGTCAAGAATAGTCACATTGTTCTCTTGGATCATTATCAGAAAGGATATTATTATGAAATTTTAGAGAAATTGGGAGATCAAGTGTTCACTCATTCTGAATATAAGAAATATTTGCAAGAAGAGTATCCACATCTGAAAATGGATAGTCTTGTTTGTTTTGAAGAGGTGCTCATGGTGACTCCTGGAGGATCATGTTTTTTGATGAAAGATGCATGGTAAGTTCTCATTATTGAATTCATTTTCAATATTCATTTAAAACGAATTATTCAACAACAATTGAATCACCACCCTCACTGTCATGTTCTTCACCAATGACACTTTCAATTCTTCGATCATTAATGTGTTGTTCACAACCAATCTCATAAATCATTCAAAAAGGAGACCCAATCCATGCCGTGAATCGGACATTCTCAAAGCCTTCTCCACCTATATCACTCGAAAAGTACTACAAGGACATCATCTCGTTCGTAGGAGAGGTCATCCCCATCAAGATCCCATTAAAATTGTATTCAGTACCAGAAAAGTAAAAGAAACAGCTGCTACCATTTATAGAAGAATTATGAATGAAGATGAATTGAAACAAGCACTTGAAAATGATCCCATTCTGAAACACAAACACAATGTAGAGATCAAGTTTATTGACTTTGGTCAAGTTGGATCCATTCAAGCACAAATTAGAATCATTCATCAAGAGACTGATATATTAATTGGTGGACATGGTGCTGGACTCACTCACACCATGTGGCTTCCAGAAGAAGCTGTCCTTGTCGAATTATTCCCATCAGGTTTTCATAGCTCATTCTTTAGAAATTTGGCGAAATGGAGAGGTATTCAGTATTTGGCCATGCAAAATGATAAATCAGAAAATGTGGTGGATGCTCACATGCATTGGACCAAAATTGATCCTGAAGAGTTTGTTCAATTGATTCGTGCAGCAGTGAATATTGTTGAGCATCATCATTTGGGAACTGGAATTCATGCTGTTGCATTTGATGGTACCAATGAAAATCATCATTTATGAGAAACTAACCAATGAAAATCATCACAAAAGTTTATACTCATAAACTCCAATCCTCATTTGTAATTTGGAGTTTACTTGATGTGTTCGAAATGAAATTCAAGAGAGAGAATAAAGAGGTTCGATAGATATATATCGATCGTACTATATATAACAACACGAGTCAGACTACACGTCATCATCATTCACCAAGAATTTTGACTCGTCGAGCAACTGTCTTTCTTTCAAACGATCGTTGCTTGTTATGGAGAGTTTCCTCTTTGAATGGATTTACCTAATTTGACTCAATGCAATCCGATAAACTCGTCTAATTCAAAAAAACCTGGACATGTCCCTCGTAAAACGCTTGTTTGGATCCTCACCACATCAGCATCACACATTCAGACCCATCCGATCTAGAAATCCACTCTATAACTTTCTATCTTCCTTTACAGACAATGACATTGTTCAACCCTTAGTCCATTCACCCTTCTCTACATTCAATTCTCCACTCGTGGATGTGAAGGAAAGTCCAACACAATTCGAACTCATTGCAGGTAAGCGTCGTTTCAGAGAGGAAAATTGATGCATTCAAGAAGATTGGTTCCAAACACTGTGAAAAATATGATTTGAATTTTTGCTTTTTAAACATACGATAATCACGAACTTGCCAATATGGTACACTGTACTATATCGATATGACTCCATGTATGACAATATCCATGACCATCATACACACACATATTGTGTATATTATAATATACAATAGACGTTCCTGGTTTCAAGAAGGAAAATATTCACTGTACCATTGATGAAGAAACACAAACTCTCATTCTTCAAGGAGACAAAGAAAGTAAGGAAGAAAAGGATTCACAGTATATTCTACATGAACGTTTCAATGTTGGGTTTTCTAGACAGTTCGATATTCCTGATAATGTTAAAATTGATGAAATCAAAGCAAGTATTAAGGATGGTCAATTGAGATTAATCATTCCAAAGAGTGAAAGCTATCAGCCACATCCAGTTCATTCTGAAAAAGTCAAAAATATACAAATTGAGGAATAAATTATTTTCCAAATCTTTGATTACAAGAGACATATTCTAATACACATTTTACAAAGTCTTGTTCAGTGAATTGTGTGACAAAACACTTTTCAACATGACTATACAAAGGTGATGAAATTGAAAGTGTGAAAAACTAGTTACTTACCTAATTTGGGTGTATTTCAAATGCAGAGGAGAGAAACCATGAAGAAGTAAAACAGGAGTGCTAAATGAAATTAACATGTTTGGTTCAGGAATATTTTCTTTGGTGTGACGATGCAATTTCTCACTCACATGATGCCTTACTAGTTCTTTTAAATTTTCCATGTCTTGTTTGTGCTTCAACTCTTCAAAAATGGAATTGGCTAATTTCGTAATACTTGGTTTTCCACAGTTTTGAAAACTCAGTAATCGAACAACTAAGGTTTGAGTGTGATTATGGACAATATTCTTGGTTGGAATTTTTAAACATGGAATTTCATGTTCAATATTTTGTTTGGTTTCTAATAATTGAATATTTTTGGCGGTAAATTTCACTTCATGATTTTTCAGAACTCTTTCAATAAAGGTGAATATTTGTGTTGCATGCTTTTCCAATATTCCATATTTATCATAGAATGCAATACTCTGAATGGAGTGATTTTTCAGCTTTGAAAAAGTTGTCAGTGACCAATAAATCATGTTTTGAATTTGCTTCATGGCGATTTCATCTAAACATGTAACTCGTTTTTGAGAAAGGTCATCATGATGGAGAACATGTGGAGAAAGCATTTCTGTATCAATTGCAATTGCTAAATGATTTGGAAATTTACTAATCATATCTTCATTCAATTTGTCTGGAGAAAATGTATATCGTGAGGTTGGAGAGGAAGAAGGATTAATTCCGAGCAGCATCACAAACATTTGGCTTAACAATCTCTCCCACACATGATGATATATAAAATAACACGTGTATAACAATAAATAGAGTGAATGAATGAGAAAATGACTACAAGAACGTAATGCTCCCATAAAGCCTTC